GTGTGCGTGTGTGTGTGTGTGTGTGTTTTCCACAGACTCTTCCACACACTGTGTTTTTTTTCCCACCGCGTGTGATTTTTCCACAGGCCGCTGCTTCCCGGACCTCTCCCGGGGCACGCTCTGGCAAGAACTTCGAGGCGAACCACCGGCCGAGGCGGTCGAGGCCTCCCGGGATGCCCCACCGAGTCGAGCAACGCTCGCACGTCCGTCCCCCGTGCACTTTTCGGCCTCGTGCGTGCACTTTTGTCGCAAGATGGTCTGAGATGTTCTTCGGCGGTCCTTGCCGAGAAGATATACACATGCCCGAGCGGTGCCAAGGAGAGCGTGTTTTTTTTTGGTCGGCGTTTCGACACTGGGCGGAAAGGGGAGGGGGAGGGCGGGGTCTGGCGCCAGACCTTTGCTTAGTGCGGCTGTTTGCAAGAGTGCTGCCTCTGTGGGAGACTCCACCCGCTCGAAACGTGCGCCAAACAACAGCCAAGATCTACTCCAGGGGGGGAGGGAAGGTGCGAGGGCTAGGGCGGATCGGCAAAATGAATAAAGCAACGCTCACAAGCTCTCTGACACGTTTGGGAGGTCTTGGGCATCGTCGTCGCCGCCGCCGTCGCCCGTGCCTTTGGAACTTCGCCGTCTTCGCCAGCGGCGTTGCACTTGTTGTGGCGTCGCCCCCCCCCCTCCCGGATCTCGACCACTTCCTTTAGGTCGGTCGTGTCCCCCTACAGGGGGGTTTTGGGCGAAATATAAAATACCCAACAATGCTCAAAAATTTAAAAAATCGTTCCCAGACTATTTTTGGACTATTTTTGAATATTCCCCCTGTAGACACGCCCGACTTAACACTTTCTCGAAATCCAATGTTTGCAATCCTGAACAATTTTTGACGGTCCTGGGACCAGGAAGAGGCTTCCAGCGGCTGGACACGACGAACAACTGGCCGCAGCGATACTTTTCGCAACGCCCGGTCTGAGGGGTCGTCGTAGCCGTGGGCGTTGCTCATTGGGGAAGGGCGATCAACGGGGGGGCGAAGGAACGTGCCCCTTTCGTGCCCCTATTGGGGGCCCCTCTAGGGCTCCTAAGCTGCACAAGAGGTGTACCTCTCTTCACCCCCACCATTACTCAACGCCCGATCATCGTTGGCACCGCATGGGGCCTCCCATGCTCTCTCGTTGGCTCTTGAGAATCGACGCTGACCAACGCTAGCCGACGCCAACCGACATCGACGCTAGTCGACGCTAGATCGGCGCTCTCTCGTCGATTACCAAAGGCTATTCGACGCCAGCGCACTCTAAACGGACTTGCTAGGGTACACAACGCTCGCCGTGGGCGCCTTGAATCTTTTGTTGCAGCGCCAGGATCTGTAGAGGCCTCCTAGATGGGGTCCGAGCAGATGGGGTCGGAGGATCGCGCCGCATCGCCGATGCCTCGCCAATGCCTCGCCAATGCATCGACGACGTCGGCGATGCATCGGCGTGGAGAAAATCGGGCTCCACATCTGGCCGCATCGCCGATGTATCGGCGATGCGGCGCGATCTTCCGACCCTATCCGCTCGGACTCCGCCTGGGGGGGCCTGGCTGCACGGTTTCCCCCGGGGCCGTAGGCGACCCGAGGAGGAGGAGGAGGAGGAGGAGGAGGAGGAGGAGGAGGAGGAGGAGGAGGAGGAGGAGGAGGAGGAGGAGAAGGAGCGGGAGGAGGAGGAGGAGGAGGAGGAGGAGGAGGAGGAGGAGGGGCCGCCAGAGCCCTTCGGACAAACCCTCCAGGGCATCCGAGGGGTCGCCGTCGCCGTGGGCGCCTTGAACTTCACCGTCTTCACCAGCGAGCCGTCCCCCAGCAGCGGATGCACGCCCTGGGCCGCGTGGATCTCCGCCAGCGAGTCGCCGAGCACCTCCCGCCCCGTACCCGCCGCCGCTCTCGGGGAGGGGGGGGCGGGGGCCCCTGCGGCCCGACGACGCCTCGGGAGGCGCCCACGCGGCAGGGTGCATCCAGGTCGCCCGCGGGCGCAGGGGGCCCTGACGAGGGGAACGCGGGGGCCTCTCTGGCCACGGCGAGCCTCGGCCACGAGCACGCCCCCCGACCCAGACCCGAGGAGCGGGCCGGAGAGCAGAGCCCCTCCTGACTGGCGGCGCGCACAACGAGGGGTAGGGGGGAGGGGGGAAGGCTGCTTCGAAAGAGGCCGCTCC